CACCACCACGCGCATGCCTCGCGGCGGATATGCGCAGCAGCAAGAAGGTTTCGGTCATCCCTTGAGGGTGAGTCTAGCCCTGCTCGCCAGAAAGACCCCCCCCTTCACTACAACCCATGTCTAAGCAAAAGCTTGTCGAGGAGCGAGGGGAAGAAGGGAGAAGTCGCCGGTACATTGTAGTATTGTTTTTGGGTTTCACATGAGAACCTTTTGTTGTGCAAGGGTGGAGGAGCCGGCCGTGGCTCGGTGTCCGATCCAAAAACACGCAACGCCTTTCGGGCAGCAGCAGTGAAATTCTCTTTTTCTTCCTTCAACCTTTTCGCGAATACCACACGGAAGTGCGAAGTAGAGATGCAGCAGCGTGTCCTGGGATGTTGAGGTGTGCCGCCCGCCGCCCTGACACAACAGGTATCGGCGGTTCAGTTGGAATTCGGGGATCGCGCTCGCTCTTTTCCCCTGATGTCTTGCTGGTTTCAACCAACCTCAGTACCCTGTAGAGGGGACGCATCCGGTTGATGTCTCGAGAGGACAGAGGATCTCTCCGAGCAACTGGTGTAGATGAATGCAGCTGCTGACACAAGGCCACTCTAGACCTAGACTTCATGTGATAGGTTGGCATGTGTGTGTGATAGGTTGGCTGATTGTACTTTTAGTACGTCGAAGCGTAATTCCGCGGAATGATGAAGCATGTTGTCTAGGTGCAGAGTGGAGCCATGCGTTGCTAATAGGACAAAAACACTCCTAAATAATACTCTAAATGCAATCGCCGTCGCAGCTGATCACGTTTGTTTGGGCGATTTTTTTTGCGCGTGACAAGTTCCGTCTTGCCCCTCCTCTCCGCGGTTGGCTTCGTCGAATTTTGTGGTGATTACTCTCCCTCTCTGTCTCTCCTCACCAATGATGTGGTTATTCAACCATGAGGCCGGACGCGTGCTCATGGGCGCGCCCTCGACTCCACTATCTACCCCCCACCTCTTTGCTACCACAGGCCATGGTCTCTCTCCTACCGTCGCAGCATCTCCGGCAGACAACCCAAGGCTCCGCGCCCCCGTTAGCCCGTTTCGTTTCTGCATCTTTTGCGAAATCGCGTTTTCTTCGCTTTTTCGGCGCGATGTCTCGCTTAGGCTCCGTACCAGGCATGTCGGAAAGCAATCCTTGTGTTGCAAAACTTCAACGGTCACGCCGCTACAAATATAGACGCCGGAGCCAATAAATACCGTCTACAGCAGTACGTGAATGTGGGGAGCTGTATCACGCATGGTGCTGGTCGGCTGGCGCCAACGGGAACTTGAAGCCTCGTACTTGTAGGCAGTCGTCTCCCAACGATACGCTCGTCTTTTGGATGCTATTCGTAAAACGGTTGCATGCAGGGGTCGAGTTGTGCTTACCATTCCAAGCGGTCACGGCATCTCAACCATACACCAGTGACAACGTCTGTGTCGCCCGTGGTCCACTGATGACCGACCGGGTTTGATTCCGCTCCCAGATTCGATTTCCGGTGTCACGAGCGTTGTTACCGTCAATCAGTGGCCGAGTGCCCTCGGTAACCGTTGTGTGTACGCTGAACTTGTTCGAGGCTGCTGGATCACTTGGGAACTTGTATCGCAGTTCGTTCACCAATGGTAACACGACAGTCATTGGGAAGCCTTGAGGTATTGCAGTGTCATGCTGAATGTTGGAAATCACCATTTCCATCCTCACCGTTTCGACCGTTACCACAGTTACCCTCTCCCTTCCCTGATAGCCGTAACTTGTGACACGGGCAGAAACAAAACGGTGTGTCCTCCCGGGCCCAGCTGTACATTAAGGACCGTCCTCACTTCCATTTTTGTCACGTGCCCGATAAGGATGTTCTTACTTCTTTCCGGTACGTTTCACTTTTTTTTACCCGTGTTTGTTCGAGATTATTTTGAAGGTGTGTGTTTTCTGAATTGTTTTTTTGCATGTAATGTTTCTGTCGAGGACCCTACCGGTAAATCCAAGCTTCAAGCGTGCGTGCTTTGCTGTACGCACCTCTCTCTAAACCCCTTTCACTCGGCCCTCCCACTTGTCTCCACCCCACAGGAAACTCGTTCACCGTGCACAACGACAAGGACTTCGAGACGCAGGTCCTGACGGCCAACTACCGGCATGGCAAGTTCTCGAGTTTCCAGAGGCAGCTCAACATGTACGGCTTCCGGAAGGTGGCGGACTGCTCCGACCGCACGTACTCCCACCCTTTCTTCCGCCGCGACCAGTCCGACCTCCTCGCCCAGGTGCGTCGCGTGGTGAACGACACCGTCGGCGCCGCCAACGCCAACGCCAACGCCACCTTCAGCCCCAGCGGAAACCCGGTCGTCAAGCGGCCTACGCACGCGCTTGCACCCTCCATTCGCCGCCCGAAGCAGCAGCAGGCCGGGGGCCGGAAAGGTGAGTCAGCCGACAACGGCGAGAGCGGCAGCGGCGGTGGCTCCCGCCGGCCGGCTACCCGCAAGAAGGCCCGGCGCTGCCGTGACGTCAGGCCATCCTCGTCTGCGGTGAGCACCGCGACGACGTCTGCTAGCGGCGGCGGCGTTCGGCGCAAGCTGAAGAGCGGTGGTGGCGAGGCCGTCGGAAGTGCGAGTCCGAGAGGGGACGGAGGCAGCAGCAGTATGGTCTTCCCGGCCCTGTCGCAGCAGCAGCAGCAGCAGCAGCAGCAGCAGCAGCAGCAGCCGGGTCGCGCAGCCGCAGCAGCAATCGCCAGCACTACCCCCGCGGCACAGCAGACACGTCACGCACCCCGCCCCTGGCCCCAGCAGCATCACCACCAGCATCACCACCAGCAGCAGCAGCGCTTCAACGAGGAACAGCTGCAACACCAGCAGCGGCCGCTCTCTGCGCAAGAGATTGCGGCCGGGCAGCGCAACCCCTCCCTGCAGGAGTTCTCATCCGTGTGGAGCCGGCACACGGGGCGCTGGGACGTTCCGGCCCTGAACGGCAGCGGCCTCGGTGACGACGGCGGCACGTGGACTACGGCTTCCTCTTCCGCGGCCTCGTCGGTGGAAGAGGCGGTGTCCCCGGTCCTGCTGCCCACCACCCCGGCCAGCCTCGACTGCTGCAAGAGCTTCGTCCCGCCGTTCCGGCTCCAACAGGACGTGTCTTCGAGCCTGGCGGACATGTGCCGCCGCAACGGCTATGGCGGACACCCCGCCAGCAGCAGCGGCGCGCCTACCAACACGTTCGGGCCGAGCAACCCCGTGCTCGTTAGCCCCGCCCCGGTGATGTTTGGCGGCGGCGGTGGTGGCCGTCGTGATGCCGAGGTCGATGTGCTGGACGGCCGGAGAGGAGACCCCATGCCTCCGTCCACGGCGGCGACGTTTGGTTCCTCGTCGCCGGCTACGATGTACCACTCGGAGGCGAAGGGCCCCGTTGGACAGGACGCGCCGGGAGGAGGGCTCTATGTCATGGGCGGCGGAACAGGGTGGCGTGGCGGCGGCGGCGGCGGCGGCGGCGGCGGCGGCGGCGGCGGCAGGAGAGGTGACGTGGGCGGGATTCTCCCTGGCGACAAGGCCGACCACGGCCCGACGCCCACTAGGTGTCCGTCTTTCGACAAGATCTTTGGGGGCCAGGAGCCGCACTCTTCATCGCACGGCAGTGAGTGAAACGATGTATAAGCCTTCGCGCAGGATTGTTTCGATTATATGTAAGGAAACACGTTGGACAAATCATGTACATAGTCGGGGAAGCTGGGTGTAGGGTGTGAAGAGATGGGCATACGGTCTGCGTGCCCCCTACCTGTTCTATTTCCTCGTAAACTCCTTTTCTCGCGAAGGCGGCGGTCCGTATCCCCTCAGCCTCGTACTTTATTTAGTAGTAGTAGCTCCAATTCCGTCCGCCTCGACATTGGGGGGTCGCCAGCAACCGTGCACGCACACTTTGGGGGAGGGTTGTATGACACAAGTTTTTTTTTTTTTTGTCTTTTTTTGTTCCTTCTCTGCCTCGCGCACACGACACTCCCTGCGCTGGCTTCCCCCTGTTGTGTCAGACCAACCCGGCATGACGCAGCTGGACAACCCTCACACCGCTGAGCCTGGCGCCGCCATCGACACCGGCAATGCTGTCGTGCCGATTTACCCGACAGCCTCGGCCAACGCCGCCGCGGACGGCTGGGACCTGGCGTGCCTGGGCGGCGCGGGCTGGGGCAGCCCGGACACAACGGAAAGCCCCGCAGCGGAGGTGTGGGCGGCGATTCCTCCCCTCATAGCGCAGGAGTCGTGCGAGCGGGGGGTGTCTCCAAGACCTTCGCCGTTCGGTGAGGCTGGCGGCGTGGGCGGCGTGTACCAGCAGCAGCAGCAGCAGCAGCCGCCGCATGCCGGGCCGTACAACCGTGCCCTGTCGCCCCCGCCCGCGTTCTCGTTTACGGTGGCAGGGGGCGGGGCCGGCCGCAAAGGCGAGGCCTCGGGAGGTGGCGGGGCGGTGGCGAACGACCCCCTCAACTGGTCCGTCCTCGGCGACGCGGCCAAGGCCGGTACGCGGTTGGGCTACGCTGACGAGTGCTCGATGATGGCGACCGGCGGCGGCGGCGGCGGCGGCGGGGTCGTGCGCAGGGCGTCTCCACCCTACTCGACCATGCCCCCCCCCGGGGTGGCTCCGTTGGGCTAACCGCGGGCAGTCCACGCCAAGAACGGTGGCGCTGTTTTGTCCTGTGCTGCACTCTCTCTCGTCGTGATGGTGTACTGTTTCGGGGGTACTCCGTGGAGTTGTAAGTCATGCCGGGCCAGCTCACGGTGGTTTTGTAGGCCTGGCCCGCCTGTGGGACCGAATAGCATTCGTCAAGACTAAGCAACACACCGCCGTCTTTTCGTTGCGCCCACTTTTTTTTTAAGTTTGGTAAGCGCGCCTTTTTTGGCTTTGGCGACTGTTCGCTCGGCCCCCCTTTATTTTTTGTCGCGTAGGCCGTTCACTTGTAACTTGGTGCTTGTTGTGGATGGGGGAGATGGAACCGACACGAGCTTAGTTGCGCACGTATTTTTAAGTCTTGTGTACCTTTTTGAGTGTTTTACGCACCTTCTCGAAAGTGTGGGATGTGATGAGAGAGAGGGTGCCTGTGGGAAGGGGTGGGTACAGTGGGGGGCATGAAGGTGGGAAGTCCAACAATCACGCTTGCGGGCAGGCACCGTCAAGAGAGGCAGTGCCACGCCAAAGTTATGGTACATGTATGACCCTCTGGGGGAAAGAGCTCGGGGGGGCGGGGGGGGGGGTCCAAGATAGATGATAGATGTGCGTGGGAGCCGCGTTTTTCGTGCTCAGCAGCACATGCCCAGTGTTTGTCGTCGTGAAGTTTTTTCGCTTGTGACGGCAGCCGGTATATCGCAAGCGATTTTTTTTGGCGCGCCGCTTTTTTTCTCTCCGTTTCTCCTTTTCCCGAGAGGTGATTGCGTGTGAAGTGTGAACGAAAATTGGCGCTGTTGTGTCCCGCCCCTTGCTTGTTGGACTGGACGTTTTTTCGCTTGTCCTAGTAGTGTATGCACTCATCCCCGCCTCCTGCCTTCCCGAAGATTGACTGTCGTACGCCTGGATTAAGAAAGAGTGACCGTAGGAGAGAAGCAAGCACATGGTGGTTTTTAGGTTTGAGATGGGAGTATTTTACCATGGTGTCAGTACGGTACCGCATTCCCGTGCACAATTTTTACGGCGCGGAGGGGTAATGGTGATTGATGGAGGATCGATTTTGTTTTTGCAAAGCAGCGGCAACGATCATGTCTGCGTGTTTCAGNGGGGGGGGGGGGGGGGGGGGGGGGGGGGGGGCGTATTCACATGCATGTTGATTATCCTTAGAATCACAGAACGTCACGATAAGCGAGCCTTCCGTGGGTATCCGTCGTGTGCGGTATTTCTTTTTTCGGTGTTGCGGAAGTGGTTCTATCAGTTCCGGCCGGTTGCGTTCAATGCTGCTCACTCCCTACTGGAATGTGCCATCGGTTTGTGTACCCAAGCTGCACTAAACCTGGGAAGACTAGTACAAAATATGCAATGCTGCTTGTTGTCGGGGCTGCACTGTCTTGGNGGGGGGGGGGGGGGGGGGGGGGGGGGGGGGGGGGGGGGGGGGGGGGGGGAGTATATGGGGAGTCCCTCTTGTTCGTAAGCTGTGGCATGATCGTGTTATTTGCGAGTGAGTGCACGAGCGTCCGTCAACGTTCGGCAGCAGTTGATCTCCTGCTGCGCTTTGCGGCGGCCTGTTCTGTGTCACCGCGGTGTTTTGTGGGGGTGTTTTCTTTCCTTACCAACTGGCGTTTCGTCCCTTTTTTCCTGCTTGTACAATCATGCTCCTGAATTCCGGGCTTGTTTACTTGGGTGCGGTGCTCACGTGAGTCGTCCTTTCTTTGTGGTATTCCGTTTAGATGGTGTGCTGCTGCTTGTCGGTAATTTATTGTTTTTTGCAGGGGATGCACTGCTTTTCAGCATGGAGGTTTTGCCGACGTCGACAGATTGGGGTGTTGACCACGCCTACGTCAACTGCAAAGTTGTTGTACACCAAAGTCGCTGGGATTAGTTAATATGTCTTTCGGTGGCAGGCTGGAAGAGGCATCGATACGTGCTTGTCTACATAGGTGCACCTCACATGCCCGTGCACTGCATTTATTGGTTCCCGTTGTACAGACCATCTTTGGCTTGTGAGTCAGCTATTCTTACATCCGTTTTGTCTCTCGCCGACCCCCGTATCGTAGTCAGCTCGCATAGTAGTATCCGTGTGTGGGCGTTTTTATTGCAGTAATTAAGTCAAGTCTTCACCTATCCCCGCTGTGGGAAGAACAAGGCTCTTTTCGTTGGTCAACACCAGAAAGAGTGGGGACAAGCAAGAGACCGCACTTTTTCCGGTCTCCTCCTTCATTGTCACGTTTTGTGTTGTCGATTATCGCACACCAACTTGAGCTATCTTCCCGCGCGGGGTTTTCTCTCGTTGTTGTTTTTTTTCTCCCGTTGTTCCCATCCGCACTGTGAGATGTTTTTTTTTTGTTTGCTTGCCGCGGGCAGCACACGGAGGTTGGACGTTGTTTTTCCCTGGCGTTTGGCAATTTTAGGCCGTGTTCGCTAGTGCAGGCGGCAACCGGAAGTTTAGCGGATAGGAGGGGCGTGGTGTGTGAATAGTGTGGTGTGGATTTTGGCTCGTCGGTGGGGTGGTGGCTGCAGCGTCAGGTGAGGTGCAAGCATTTTTTGTCCCCCGCTTTGGCCCTGCCGCTCGTTACTTTGGGAGGAATTATCAATTGTTTTTTTTCCTGGAACTTTGTGCAACCAATGGTCGGTCGTTTTGGTGAAGTTTAGCGGTGTGTAGATGCAGCCGACTGTAGGTTGCGTTCTTGTTCTGGAATGAAAGCGGAGGGCGGCCGTTGCATCAGCAGCAGTAGCTGCCGTGACTTGACTGCGCGCCGGGCTGGCCTTGTCGGCAAGGGTGGTTTGGAACTTTGTTTTCGCGCAAGCGTCAAAAGTTGCGGGCGGCATGTGGTGGGCGTGTAAACATAGTGTTGGAGGGTGGCCGGATGCACATCCTCTTTTTCTGTCGCTATTTTCGCACGCCAACAAGGGCGTATTCCTTCCTGTTGCTCCCTGTTTTCGGTTACTTGTCATAGGACTTGTTGACTTATGCATGAGACCAAGTGTAACTGCATGAATGAACAGCTCCTCGTCGCTTGCAGTCATTGCATGCGTGGTGGGCACATACCGGCACCTTTCTGTATGTCCCATACCAACAACAGCAAATGTGAAGTAGTTGTCCCGTGGTAAACAATAGTTGTGGGTTGTGTCATTTGAAATTTCCATGCGTAGACAAACAGCAAACGGGAGAAAGAGAGATGCGTGAGATTGACTTTATTCCCACGTGGCAAGCGAGTGTAGAGGTTTCGCTGGTGGTTCAGGTGGGTGGGTGGTTCGTCGTCATTGTCGATGTGTCTTTTCGGAGGAAATGAGCCGGGGGGTAGGTAGAAGTGGTGTCCAAGACATCTGTACGTTTCCAAGGCATCTGTACGTGTCGGGGGGGAGAGAACAACGATATATTTGTTTTTGTTCTTAGTCGCGGGCCATGTTGTCGTTCATGGCTAACGTCGGGGTGTATTCATGCCTTTGTTCTTGATACCATTGATCCCATAGTACGAGTATTAGGCAGGCTGGTGATCACGTTGGCGATTTTCTCGATCAAAAGTTAAGCTCATCTATGCATATCTTTGAAATAGTTGATGCATATATCATCGAGAGAAACCCTATGCCCATCGATCTGCTGCATTTTATGTGTTCGTTGTTGTCCCTATTTTCTTTTGTCTCTTTTGTGGGGGTTTGAAAGCAAATCTTCACTTCGTTTTTTCATTTGGGG